GAATTATAATCAAATCACTTGTTATGCATTATTGTTAAATGTGCCAGTCTACATAATGAGTACTTTTAGTTTTAGTACTTTAAGTATGTTTTTGATGCTAATCCTCTTGTAATTTTACTTAACATCTTGGACTTTTACTTGTAACAGAGTATTTTTACACTGTTGTATTACTACTTTTACTTAAGTATGGGATCTGAGTACTTTTTCCACCACTGTCCAGTACCATAAAACAGTAATGTCAGTATCAGTTGACTGTGGCCAGATACAAATATAACCCAGGTTTGTTATTACACTACAGATGCTTAAATAAATGGATCCAAGGCCAGATCCTTTTTAGACTCTGCAGGTGTATCAATGTATCTGTATTGAGGTCCAGGGTTTGCCTGAACTTTTCCAGTAACAGGAGTCATAACACAAAACATCAATACCTATTTGTGCTTTGGAACGTGTCCTTCTTATTACCATGCATGAAGTCAGCAGAGTCGTAGGCTAAGTGGTATTCAGAAAAACTTGAAAAACTGCTCAGTCACTAAAGTACGCATGGCCACTGTGAGGACTGTACTGTGTATGCTTGCCAGAAACCAAGGCACACCTTGGCAAGGTAGTTTCCCAGCCATGAGTGGATCTATGAGGGAGATACTCTCAGAGAGGACAGTATTATGCTATGGAGAAGGGGAAGCCAAATCAGAACAGTGTGACTCATGTTTTCCGATATAGACAGTCATAGGATTTTCTGATGTTATTATATGTTGTGGGTCAGTAGACAGAGCAGAGACCCAGGTTTATGTGCATAAACAATGACAAAGTTATTTTATATGTCCCCTTTAATTTTCCCAAAATTCACTGCAAAGTAGTCCTACTTAGGATAATCAAGAACAAGGCAGCTTTGTGCAATATCAGTCTGATCTAAGCCTTAGTCAAAGTTTACATTTGGGAAATGGCCTATGCTGTATGTGTCAGAAACGGTGTGCGTAATGCAGCCGAAAAGTGTTTGGTGAACTCATTAAATGGCCAGACAAGGAAGTGATGAACAAAACCGTCTCTTTAATAAGAGAACTAAAACTAAACAAAACCATACAAGACAAGGTGAAACACAAAACTCACGGTCGGTATCAGTCCCAGATCAGAGCCAGCAAACGCATACATCCAGGGGAATCCAAAATTCGTAGTCCAAAAGAGAAAGTCCGATAATCATACACCGTGGCAGTCCATAACAAGTGGGCGAGGCAGAATAGAATAGTCCGAGGTAACAGTCCGAGATCAGAAACACAAAATACCAAAACCGAAGAAAATGCTGGAAAGTCAGAGCTGGGGTCTAAAACAATCTGGCCAGGATTAATGGGTGAAGGCTGCTTATAACGTGGTGCAAACAGGTGCAAACTAATCGGGAGCAGGTGAATCTAATGTGAGTGATGAAGAACATAAATAGACCGAAACTAACAGGAAGTAATGTCAAAATAAAAGCCGGACGAGAAGCAGCGGAACCAAATCATGACACAAGGCGTCCTCGCCAAGCCCCTCAAAGACCGGGAGCAGGGGCAAGGCATCCTCGCCGAGCCCCTCAAAGACCGGGAGCA